GGAGGAATTGGAAAAGGAATTCGAGTAGTCACTGCTGCAACCAAGAGTACATATTCGATACCTGGATGAGTACTTCGCGCTTTAGCCGCATGGTAAGCAAAATTTAGATACATTCCTTAACTGCATAGACCAACTTGGTTAAAGAATACAATTCACAATGGAGGCGGAGGATGACCGACTGACTCTTCCGTATGCTGAGGTCACTATTCGGAAAGAAATCAAATGCGGGAATAAGTCCCAATTACTAATATCATCATAACTACAGATTAAATATTGGAATGATGATGAGGTAGACCATCAGAATCTTGAGACTAATGGACATCGAGTTCTAGGACGAGCTCGGATTTGCTTCAGTAACAGGCACCCCAGGACATTTATAGAAGGAAATATAAGGATCACAAAGGGCAGATTTTAACTTGGATTTTATGAATACAAAATCATGCATCGGGAGGACAATCAAAAGTGAATATGCCTACCCACTAAATGAAATATCAAGGTGATAACAAAGGCAAGGACAACATTCTTCACCAGCCTGCCGACACAACTCGAGACGTTTGACAAAGTGGATTGCTCGGTAGTCTATCGCATCAAATGCAACAACTGTGAGCAGAAGTGTATTAGTGAGACAGGTACACGAAATCGACTGGAAACCGACAAACGCCTTGCCTCGTATGATGAAGATAAAAGAAAACGCAAGATCAAAGAGGCCATCGATATGCTGGCTACAACAATTCTGATGAACGAAGGACTTGAAGGAATCAGGATTAGTGAAAACTTTGCGCATTGCTTTAGCAAACTTGGAGGAGATTAGGAAACAGGATTAGCAAAAACAAGGCAACTAAAGAAAAAAATATTTATGGAAAATGTTAAAAAGAATCGCATGTAGGTCAAAGAGTTGCAATCGGGAAGCAAAAGGAGATGACTTTAGTGAGCATAATTAAAGAAAGTAAACAACTACAGCATTTAGAGGTTGACACATAAGAGATTATTGGATATGAGAGTGAGACTAAAGATTGCGGATAGAAACGCGATAGGTGCTGCAGAGACCAGAGATAGTCGGCTTGAAGTACATGTGTCTGTTCATAGACGTGATATGTGAGCTAAATACTTGATCACGAGATCTACCTGCCGAACAGTGACGAAATCTGTAGTGTCAAGTTGGTTTTGCAAACATATTGAGAGTCTGCTCAGTGGGGCAAAATTATGTATTCTTGAGGACTGAGTAGCATGGATATGGTGGTAGTGATCAAGTGAATTCAATGAACCAGGCAGATAAGAGACGGATTCTACGAAGCAAGAGGAAGACTCTGATAGGACCTTGATTAAAGGGATTTTACCAAGTCCACAATCAGATTCTCGAAATTATCATAAATACACTCGACTCCAGGCAACGTCGTTTCTCTAGCTCTCTCTTACCATACGACGAATCAATGACAAAGGTAAAACAAATTGCATACTTATTTTCGATTAAAGTAGTTTGTTCCAGAGTATCGGTAATTCTTGAATTAAAAATGTATTTAAAAACTGTCTTAATATCATAAGAAATCTTGCTAATTTTTGTTGCGGATAGAATTGATAGGTAATAAAGACGAAAATGATCAAAATGCTAACTGAACAAACCGCTTTTGGCAGAAGTATCTCCAACCAGTTCTGTTCCATCAGAATCAAGATATAGGCTGATAAGTACTTCTGGAGATGACTTCTGCTTAGAATGCAAAATTTGACACCATTTTGGATTCTACATAAAGATTATTAACGAAACAAAGTTACTTTTTTAGAGGATGCCGAGCGGATGTCTAGAACCACATATCCAAGAGGCTCTTTAACAGGTGTCTTGTTCTCGACCGCGAAGAACTGAAGCTTTATAGAACTCCTTTGTAGTTTGTGCTGACGAAAACTTCGTTTGTCAAGCTCCCAGGCCAATTCTTGCTCAAACTGCGGCTGCTCTCTATAAGGTACTGGCTCTGTCGATAGCATTTCACTGTCGAACTTCGCCTCGGCAACAAGATGGCATGATTGCCGATCATTGAAATTGCGACCTGACAGAGGATGGCGGCGATAACATAAAGGTAAGTGAAGACCGAATGTCTCAGTGACATTTATAAATAAATAAGATAAGCATTCAAGCCCAGGAGTTAAACTAACAGATGAATGCATGTGGACAAATATTTCCTCTTTGCTTAGGCTAAAAATGTCTCTTAGTGAGACCAAGCTTATTATACCCAAAAACTGGTATAATGCCTGCATTACAGAGTTTCAGCCACAAGACATCATCACCCCACATATAAATAAACTAAAGTACCAATTTTAAATAAGTTATTTCATGAATCAATTGAAACAATAGATTTTGATATTCCAAGAACTAGGTATTTCATAACACTTGCAATGAGGCAAATGAAGCCTCAAAATGATATTTTAAGCATGGCTCATTAAAACTCTTATATACTGTCAGTAAACGAATATAAAGCCTTATCCATATTCAGATTGGGTATATCCATAAAAAAGGCTTGATTTGGCTCTGTTGTGTTAATTTTAATATTAATTCTTTGCTATCAGTCCCCACTATCTACTTACATTCTTACTGGGGGGACTTCATTTCGTATGAAAGTGCATGATTAAGAGGCTCATTGGTTGATCCCACCGGAATACTAAGGTCAATTTGCGTTATCCTGCAGGCATTTGGTCTCAATACGACGTTCATAGTGAAGAAGTCCACCGGACATCCGTCCCCATTTAACGTGAAACTGGGCTAATCAATGGTTCTGAAACAAGAGAGGATATCTCGTGGACTATGTCAGCATGAACGACGTATTAAAAGAAAAGGGCTGCAGAACAACGGGAATCTGCCGTAATCTTTCCGTGAGATCAATCAAAGAATCTCTCCATGATGCACTCTTATACAAACTGTAAGTGTCCTCAATAATTTTATCCGTTTACTCTTCGTATGTATAACCTTCTTGTGACAAAAATGTATTGAAGAAGGAAGTATCAATTTGAGATAGGGAGTTTGGCTGCATATAGCACCTAGTACAAAATTACTATAACGATCGTCAGAAAGATAAAAGCTGTGATGTCAATTAACATAATAATAATTTGAATATATGAGCACAAAAACTAAGGCAGCAATTAAATCGTGAAATAAGTTAAAATTAAGTGCTACACAAAAAAGAAATTGGTATATTGCACGATAAAGATAATTAATCTCGCCATTTTCATAAATAGTATAAATAGTTATGAAAAAAATAGGCGAGACGCAAAGAATAATGAATAAAAAGCAACAAATCAAAAAATATATATAGCTTTTAAAAATAAATTGCTTATGTACAAAGCTATGTGAGGCAGAATTTTATTTAGTATTTATAAAATTTATATAATATAAGATGTTATATAAATGAATGGAATATAAGGATAACGGAGTTGTTGCAAAGTCCTAGGAAGAATTAGGCTAAGAAAAATGCAAGGGAAATGTATTAAAGCGCACAAACCAGAAATAAGGGAAACAACAATAAGATATCTATCCTTCAATATCATTAAATTCTAACTGAAGCGGATTCAAGCAATATGCTAAGAACAACAAAACTTGAAATATTTAAACAAACTATCAAATAAAGCAATTTTGACTTGTGATTTTGAGTTATACTCTGAAAAAATAATATTTGTTGAAATTGTCAGGTGACTAAAAGATATAGGAACTGCAAGCTTTTACAACTATTTTTTAATTTGGCCTATTAACAATTTTAAGAGTAG